CAATATACTAAATAAAATCTATCTATCCATGTGTATGTATATATATATATATATATGTATGTATGTATTTATTTATGTATGTATGTGTTTTAGCTACAGTGTGTCTATATGTTCCATCCATGTGCATGTGTGCTGCCTGGCAGCTGGTGACTCCCCTGAGGCAGGTCCCTGACAACAGAAGGGTTAATTGTTGCCGGGGAGGGGAGGATGGAGTAGGAATCCAGTTACCATGGTAACCTCCTCCTCCTGCACAGATCGCCATGTACCAGAATCTGCACACTCCCACCCTCCACTATGCTTCTCTCACTCCCTCGCTTCCTATTTCCTTTTCACTCTCCCCCCCTCCCCTCCCCCGTCTATAATTGTTACACTTATTTTTCCTGTGACGTTGATGTCATTGCTCACCTATGGACGGGAACGCGGCGTATGTTGGGTTTTACCGTAAGAAAGGCATTTACAGCCCTAAACACTGACTCACCTATTCCGGTAATATGGCCGTCACACTCCGCTGGCGGAGAAGAGCTGCCTGGTGGTTATGTCACAGCTACACATAGCGCTGGGCGGGATGGCCTGCGTTAGAGATCTGTATGGAGAAAATCTTCATAGATATACAGCACAGCAACCATTTCCCGGATAAGGAACCGCCAACCGGCGATAAACAGGCCCTAAAAATAAGAAAAGACACCCAGACACTGATATAGGGGAGTATGTAAGGATGTCTCTGCACCTACTGTATATGCTTGCCGTAATGGCAAATGGCTCCAACGTGCCATATCGCGAGGTTCATTCTTAAATTAGATGTAAACCCAATCAGTAAAATCTCAGATAAGACCCACCGTTGTCACCATCAGGAAACCTGCCCTGAGAAACGCCATGGAGACATCACTGGAGTGCATGTAGACAGGAAGTACTCTATGATATAAAGACTTTATTAAAGAGGTCTTCATCACAATCAGGATGAACTACATGGCCTAAAGTATGTGGACCATCCTCCATATGATGGAGTTCAGGTATCTCGAGTGAAGGTTCTGTTGCCCTGTGTACAAAGCCAGCTCCATAAAGACATGGTGTGACGAGTTTGGTGTGGAGGAACTCAAGTGTCCTGCACAGAGCCCTAACCTCAACCCTGCTGAACACCTTTGGGATGAATTGGAACATTGATTTTGAGCCAGGTCTTCTCATCCAACATCAGTACCTGAAGAGGGTTTAATAGGATGCCGTGCATAAAGTGTATAATGAGCTTCCATCTACAACAGTGATGTGAACCCAACATACATAGATGACGCATGACTATTACATCTACCTATATGACCAAACGTATGAGGACCAACCTCCAAATGATGGGGTTCAGGTGTCCCCAGTGAAGGTTCTGGTAATCATACAAAGACATTGTAGACAATTGTGTTCTTCCAGCCTTGTGGTCAGCGGTGTATGTAAGTTTTGTGCTGCCCTAGGCAAGGCAGCAACGCCGCCCCGCCCCCTCTACTGAACACCTTTGGGATGAATTGGAACAGTTATTGTGAGCCAAGTCTTCTCATCCAACATCAATACATGAGCTCACAAATGGGACAAATTCTCACAGACACCCTCCATCATCTTGTGGAAGCCTTTCCAGAAGAGTGGAGGATGGTAGAACCACAAAGTGGGGCAACTCGATATTAATAGCCATGGGAAAAGTGGGGGGCTCCATATTAATGGTGCAGGGGAGCAGCTCCATAATAATGACCACTGCTTTAGAATGGGATCTCCAACATGCTCATATAAGTGCAATGGTGAAGTGTTCACGGACTTTTGGCCCTATAGTGTATATAATATATAGAATGTAATAAGCTTCCATTCACGGGAATCTTGCTCCGCCTCCCTGTATTCTTCACAGCAGCTATGCGTGATCCTATGTGATGTGAAATGTTGAAGAATCCAACCAACGCATTTATTGGAATGCTCAATCCTCTGAAGCCTCGGTGCCAGTGCAGCGTATATACTAC